AAAAACATAATTCAGTAAATATAATGAATTTTATGGACTTTATATTCAATTTGCTTTATATTACAAAATAAAATGTTCTTTAATTTAAAGTTTGTTTTACATTACTAACCTGTGTATTAATTATTATATATAAAAACCAAAAATAATTAATGTACTTTAATTTTATATATAATCATTTAATTAAATAATTACATATTAAAGAATTTTAGAATTATGGAAGGGAGGGGGAAGGAGAGGTAATGAAGTTAAGACATGGGATGTTTCTTTTAAATCTCTGAAGCAAGGGCATACTGTATACATTATTTCTTATTACTGTATTAAAATGGCAACTTCACTTTTGAAGCTCAGACTTTGTATTCTGTATAACATCAAAAAATTTGTTGTCGATAAAATAATCCACTTGAACACCTGTATCATCTCTATACATTATCATATGAAAATAATCATACTTTGTCTATGATGAGTGTTATCATCAGTGGCGAACAAACAGAGAAGATACAAGGTTCTGGCTGATAAGCCAGTATCAAACTATAAAATAAGTACAGTACACGATAATGCACATAGCAATATTATCCAACACTATACTAAACTTCAATCAAGTTTTTTCAGAAAATTGCAGATCAGATTGTGATACTACTACTAACACGATGGATACATGAATATTATTATTTGTATGGATCATAAGTTCAATCTGTGACCATCTAATGATTAAATGATAAACCAGGAGCACACTATTACTATACAGTATATTGAAAGCTATGTACTTGCTTTATAAACTACTCTTAATTTTTGCAATCATTTAGAAACTTTTACAGTATTGTTCTCAGGATATCCAATGTAATGACCTGGATACATAAAAAAAAAAGTATCATTTTATTTTGTATTGGATAAATATACAACACTAGGCTACTCTGACCATGGAGGTGTAAAAATAGGCTCTGACGATCTATATGAAGCCCTGTCTAGACTATCAAATTTTCTTTGAAAACAAAACTGTTGTATGCCCATATATAGTCATGATGTGCCTATATATGGTCATGATGTGCCTATATATGTGGCAAAGACAAGCCAAACCAGTCACTCGTCGCAAATTGTGTCTCAGCGAAAATAGCAAAAACATGCTAGAATGTAAAATTTTTTTAATCTATTTTATTTCACTAAACTAAGGTTTATGTATCTATACATCATACTGTGCTATTATTTTTCCCAATTTAAATGTTAAAACAACACTTTTTAATGATTTTATGATAGTTTCTGCATGAGAAATGCCTGAAATCATAAACTTTGAAAGCTGATTTCTCATATATTGTTCTTTAAACAGCTGTATGCATAAATGCTTATAACTTCATAAGGAAATGTCGGATTTGAATGATTTTTTTTACCATTTTATAGCTCTTATTTTACTCTTTAACCCTGTATTAATAACTCAAAATCGATTTTTGCGACGAGTGACTTGTCTTTGCCACATATGGTCATGTGATGTCATCATGACCGTATGCAGGCATGTCACATGTTTTTGTAAAATATTTGAAATTTTGGACTGGGCTTAAAGGTGTTTGCCTTCTACTCAGTGTCTTGGGTTCCAACCATGTGATACAGTAGGCATTTTTTTTTAAAATTATTATTATGACTAAAAAACATCACCTACAAAGCATTGTAGTGAGACTTGCTTTTACTATAGTATCATCCATTAATTCATTTAAAATTTCATGACAATCCAATGTTGGTAGATTTTAACTAGGTTTGATATTGTGAAACATTAAAATGTTGAGAAAAAAAAAAAGAGCTTTGGAAATTAAAAATCAGCATGTTTGCAGTATGGGTATGCTTTATCTTGCGCTTATTTAATATACTCCACAGCATGGTCAGAATCGGTGAAATGTCTGCCGATTGTGAAACTACTTATCTTCTTAGTATAAATCATCTGCATTATCTATGTTAACTTGTTCTGGTTATTATTTGTGTGTTAGAACTATATCAATTTTGTTGACTACTGGAGCTACAGTAAGTGTTTAGTCCCTGGACTTAAATTTTACTAATGTAGTAAACCGAAGTTGAATTGACTGCACCAAAGCCTATTGAGAGTCATTTACAAAAGATTCCAATAGTTCAATTATTAAGTTTCTTTATTATGGGCTAGGTAATCATTAATCTATGATTAAGGAGTCTAAAAGAAGCCATTATTTTCTTTAACTCAAAAGCTTTTAATGACAATTTGCAGCAATAAGGCAGTGTTCTGTTTTCTATACTTTGCAAGAAAAGGTGAGACTAGAGAATTTAAAGTTACTGATAAAACAATAGAGGATAAAGACACTCAGGTGTAATAAAGCATTTACTATTCAGTCAGCACAAACCAAGCTTTTTGCAGGCAATACCAAATAGGTTTAGATTCATCTTCGCTAACGGATTGAAAGACCTGAGCTAAATTAGTCGTGCAACACAAATTGATAAGAATGTATACACTAATAGCATTTAACAAAGGACTAGTAAATCCCTACCACTAAGCCTTTTGACAAACAAGGTTCAATATAGAAGGCTTCTTTCTAGGCCATGAATGCCTCTCTACTCAATGAACTCAACACCTTTCCACCTCTTTTTCAAGGCAGATCTTTTAGCGGATTTGGCAAAGCACACATATTCATTACTGCAGATTTAAAAATGACTATACAACAAGCAACTGAAAAATTCATTAGAAATGAAGATCAAAACCGTATTCAAAATGTTTGAACAGTAATGAAAAATTTTCAAGTAGGTTGGAGTAACATTTGATGTTAGATTATTCATTTAGTGTTAAATTTAAATACTGTACTGTACTGGGAGAATATTAGTTAGTTTATTTGTATTTATATTTTGTTAAAATTCATTAAAGAAATAAAGTTAAAATTTAAAAACAGAAACTAAACACGAAATGTTATTACTTGAAACTTATACTGTACAGGTATATATAATTGATTTTTACAACTGTAAAAGGAATTCATATATATATTTTGCAAGAGATGAAGAATGTACTATAGATTACTACTGTAAGCTGAACATGCTGTACTTCTCTCCTTCTAAAAGGTAGACTGCAAACAACCCTCCCTCGGGGGTAATTATTTCCACAACTGTGACATTATGGAGCCATCCATTACCTTATATGGTATGGCTGACCTCATAGTTTTAAGATGAGAGGTCAGGCAGCTTTTGCACTCCATATCCTTTGTTACTGTTAGCATAATGTGGAAAATATTTGTATAGCAAGGATTCACCATTTAATATTAATGTGCGTTATAAATAGCTTTCTAAATATAAGAATTCAATAGCCACATTATTATTTAAAGTATAAAATAATCACAAAAAAGAAATATTTGAGTGAGAAATGTGGGATATGAATACTGTAAACACTAAAGTTTATTATCTGTAAAGGATGAAATACTGTATGTACTGCGTATGTACAGCATTATCTGGGCACACTGATTACTGGCCTATTCCAAAAATTACCGTTAATAAAGAATGTCAGTAATGCAAATTTAGATGTTAGTAACCAATGTTTAAACTCAGAATCAGCATGCACTTGAATGATATGCCGTCTTCTGTCTCAAGCACCCTTGTACAAGTACAGTACTGAGAAAATAAAACTATCCGTTATCTACAGTACAATGGTGCCACCAGACTAGATATGCCAAGGTCCATTTGACCTAGTGTAAATAATAGGGCATATTTAGGTACAGAAGCTTTTGCATTGCAGTGTTACTACTACTGTAGGATTACTTAGCAAGATAAGTCTGGTATCTGTTTCCCTTTTATACTACAGTACAGTACCCGTATATTCTCGCGCATTAGACAAGGCTTAAAGTAGAAAATCACGACATACACAACACATTTTTCATTTTTAAATCATGTTCGTCACAAGTGCAGATCATCTGTAATACAAATTTCCTACTGAAATGAAGCTATTAACTGTTAGCATGAATGAACCCAATTTCAAATGTGGGAAAACATAGATTTTGATGAACATTTAAAAGCCTATTCGGTATTAAGGCCCCATAAAAAAAATTATTAGTTTATCACCCGCTCACTTTTGGGAAAAATCAGTTTTTGTTTTTTTTTTCAATCAACATATATTTTTATTTCAAATGGTCCTTTTTCCATCTTTTTTCACCTGAAAAGCTCAGGGTTTCTTGCAAATATACTTACTGGTACAGCAAAAACATATTTTTTAAATATAAATTCCATTCTTATGACTTTTTATATAATATGTGTCTCTAACCATTGATTTACTTGTGATCATCGGTAAAATTGGGGCGGGATTAGCAAAAAAAAAAACCTCCCTCCCTCATCAGTTTTTATTCTTTGATAGGGTGATATAAACTAATAATTTTTTTTTATGGGGCCTAATGTACTTGTAATATTGGTCCTACATTTGGCTCAGTTTTTAGCCACCTAGATGCAGTCAAGACCATGAAAAGCAGCAAGAAGTAGGAATACCGACGATGAAACAAGGAGGCTACTTTATGTACGTACGCCTGACATGCAACAATCTTCACCAACTCGGAGGTCGTCTTATACATGGATTGCCTTATACACACAGTACAGTAATGTAATCAGAGATGAACTTGCACACTAAATAAAGGTTTAATTTCAACAGTGGTAATAATACTATAGTGCAGACTACCACACAAGGCGTTGCAATAATTATAAGACAAACTTATAATTTTCTATCATATCTTTCACCTTCTCTGGTAATACAGTATATTCCAATTAAATGTGCTCTTTGATACTTTTTTCCAAAATCTCACGGGCTAAAATAATACTGTAGAACATCTAGGTTAATAAATGATGGTTAATATTGTAGGATTGGTGGCTGAAATTAGTGATGTGAAACAATACAGTATTGATGCTGAATTACTTTGTGTAGAACATGTGTGTCTGGAACCTACTGTGCCAGAAACGAAGTACTGCAAGCAACTCATTCACTGCTCACTTCCACTAAAAAGACAACAATTGTAGATGACACAGAATTCCAAGCACAGCCTATCATATTTATTCATGTTAGCAAACGCTGTTTTAAGATAACCATTTTACAGTATACACACTATTACTTTGTTTTGCTATCTTTTTTTTGTAATTTCCTGAACAAGACAAAGAATATCGTAATGCACTTAATACAATGAATAGTTGAAGTCCAAGCTTGTACCAGCATTTAATGTTATTTACACTGATTATATTTTTCTGCAACTGAGCAATAACCATTTATATATCTACTGAAGTGTATCGCATATTTCTTTAATTTCATTTGTAAAAATAGCAGGGACAGAATTACAATTCTTATTACTCTGTAGATGTTATGATTTTGAAATTGTAAACTTTATACAATACCAAAGGTACTTCGGTTCTATTACTTTTAACAGGTGAATTCCTGTCGACAATGAATTGGTATTTCTCAGCCATATAACAGAGTACGTACATGCAAGATGCAGTTCAGTATCTGTCTACAATTGAGAATAGATCAAAGTGAATGGATAAACAGCCAGACATACCTGGTGACCAAATACGACAGGATGACAGATTTGGAATAAATAGAAACTTATTGATCAGTAAATTTATATCAATTCAGTTTTTCTTAAAAACATTAACTGTGATTCTTGTGCACAGAAATATATCAAGCACATACAGTAATTCCATAAATGTTATTTCATAGATTCTACTTGAAAAAGTAAAACATGAATGAGAAAATACTGTAGAATAAATGGAGAATTTAAGGATACTATTAATACAAAAAAGCAAATACTGAATGTTGATGGTATTTATTTTGTCTTTTTAAAACTGTATGACACAATTTAGTAGATTTGTTACAGCTTGGGGAACTTTCACTAGCAATTTAAAAACATTCAAAACATGAAAGATCCATTTTGACCGACATATTGAATGATAAATACAATCATTGTCCTGTACAACATGCCTTCTTTGAGAAGTACTATACAACAAAGGATCAAATATACCAGTTGTAAGGCCTTCACCAACAACATTCATGTTGATTTTAAGAGACGGTGGAATCTTATCAATGGCAGTAATGATTAATTTAGAGAATACAAGACTCCTACACCTACGATTATATATAAAAAAAACCAATAAATTAACAATCCCAAGATACAGTAGTAGGAAAGTTACATAAATATCAGTATTGGAAAAATTCTTTCATGTTTTGAATGATCAAATGTTACATAAATGCATTTTACAATAGGCATTAAGGAGTTAAGAAATTAACATTAATTGTTTTTACAAGTTATATACATAGCTGGCAACAATTATATTTACAATAGTCTAATATTATATCACAAAAAATATCCACCATTTGTGAAATAATCCGATATTATACCACAAAAGATATCAACTTTATTTCAAAAATCACCAAATTTAATTCAACATGGCTTTGAAATGTTAGTCTGTACTTTGGCACGAAGTAAATTCTTAAGATTAGGTATTCTTTTTTTCCAAACCAAAAAAAGAAATATCTAATCTTATCATTACTACAAACCAGATAAACATTTACAATCAAGTAAATTCTAATTTTTTTAAAATAACATTATAATTGGTAATGTTCAATATTGACAAAATTTAAGCAATTGGGTAAAATTCAAATACATTAAAACAGGAATAAAGCAATTAAAATCTAGGATGCAACTAATTTGTTAAAAAACATAAACATTCTGAATATCTCTTTTTAAACTTAAAAAAAATGAATAGAAACTAAATAAGAACAGGAAGCATTTTAAACCATTATGAAAAATAATTGGCATTTAAAAAAGAAAATTACATTCTCTCACTAACAAAATTTAAAATTCTAGTCAAACTGCATGAACTCTGGTTTTCACACTGCCAGAGAAAATAATAAATATGTAGGATTGGTTTTAACAGCATGACAACACAATAGATTTACAGGGACTTTAGGTCAGAAGAGTATCTTAACATTGGGACACAATTATGCACATTGCACAACTTTACATGACTGATTACTGTGAAGATTTTATCATATCAAAATCATAATCACCCTTTAGGAGAAATTGCTCCATTTTTTAAAATATTCTATTTTTAGACCGTCATCTTTAAAAAAAAAAAAAGAAATTGCTGTCATTTAAAAAAAAAAAAAAGATTGCTTCAAATTTTGAAGCAATTCTCATTAACACAGACCATAACTAAATAAATAATTTAATAAACTATGAATGCTTAAAATCAACTTAACCAAGTTGTCTATAACACTAGTCATAATAAATGGGTATAAATTACAACGGAATTGTTTGGAATGATCAAATAAATCATTTCTTTCAGTGATATCAATACAAACATATTTATTTCTTTCACTATTAATAAATAAAATATTTAAAAAAAATTATTTTCTTTCAAATCAACAGAAGTTTAAGGTTTCCAAAAAAAAATATTAACCATTTACAGTATGACAAATTAAAATTAAGTAAATAAGCACTGCGAATGCATGACTGATGACCAGCATACGTTTGTCCTTCCAAGGTGACAAAGTCCTTAAACAAAGGCTTTATTAATCAAAATGTAACTATTAACTTAAAAAATTAAAATAACACAAGTTGAACATTGTTTAGTCTATTGTTTTATAGTGACTATCAAAGTCTACCATAGTTTACTTCTTGTGTTTTTCTTAATATACCATCGCATCTTGTGTGAATCATGGGATCAGACTTCCGAAGGCTTCTTGGGTACATGTACTGATCTTCTTGAAAACAATTTGTTATAGAAATTTATCCAAGACTGGAGGGTCTTTCCTGACCATATCCAAAAACCACTCGTTATTCCAACAATAACCAACATTAAATATTTAATCATAAAAATAGTGAAATCGGGTCGTTCTGCTCGAGATGCTTCTGGCAGAAATTCATTCTGATGTGGACAAACCACGCTGTATTTTAAACAATTGTCCGAGAGCCATCTCAACTCCCACTGTTCTCTAAAGCTTTGTTCATATATATAACATGCAACGACTATCGTTGCCGGAACGGTGTATAGCACAGTGAAAACACCAATACGAATCATTAATTTCTCCAACTTGTCTGTTTTCGTATTTTCATGCTTCATAAAGGTCCTAATACGAAACAAAGCGATAAATCCAGTACACAAGAAGAATGTTCCTACAATGAGATATATGATGAGTGGGGCAAGTACAAATCCTCGTAGTGCAGTAATGTTTGTGCTTCCCGTAAAGCAAACGCCACTCAGAGGGTCTCCATCAACCTCTCCCATGGTGAGGATGATAATTGTTTTAACAGCAGGGATCGACCAGGCGGCTACATGGAAATACTGTGAATTTCTTTCTATAGCTTCATGTCCCCATTTCAATCCAGCAGCCAAAAACCAAGTAAGACTTAACAACACCCACCAAATTGATGATGCCATTGTAAAGTAATACAATACCATAAATAAAATCGTGCACATCTCCTTCTTGGCTCCCTGGGTAAGTGTTGCCTCTTTGTATGTGTGGTCATTTTCTGTCGGCTGGTTACATGCAATCTCATCATCCATAAAAAATCCAATAATATATACAACAGCAATCATGAAGTAACACCCAGAAAGGAAAATGATTGGACGTTCAGGATACCGGAATCTTTTTGTGTCTATCACAAAAGTCAGGAAAGTAAACAGGGATGATCCCGCACATATGAATGCCCATATACCAATCCAAAGTCGTGCAAATTTTTGTTCAGTTGGGTCTTTGAAGAACATTGGGCATGGAAAACCACAATTTTTAGATCCAAGAAACTCCTCATCTTTTTCTGGTACTGTAAATTCTTTAGGGCAAGTGAATGCAATATCGTCTTTTTGCACTTTGGGTGTCAATGTTTCAAGACTGTCAGGTGATCTTGTTGTTGTAAGTGTTTGTTGATCTTTGTTTGCTGTGCGATTTCTGTCCACACATAAAATACCAGGACGTTGTTCGGGAAATAAACTGCAATCAAGTTTATCTGGCCACTGAAATCCAAATCTGTTCATAAGAGCTTCGCATCCATTTCTAGCGCTTTGGCAAAGCGACTTGCATGGCGGTATAGGGAAATCAACCATAGTGCAAGGAGGCGCATACATCGAACACAAAAAATATTTCAAATCCAACGAGCATTCCACTTTGACGAGAGGATAAAATTGGTGTACTTCCAAGCCTGCATCTTCTTGGTTTTGATTTAGTAAATTTGGAAATATTGTAGTGTTATACGGAAGCTGGTGACAAAGTGGAATTGTAATAGCTTCACATCGCGCCTTCGCATAACTGTCAACACCGCCATCGCCTCCGTATGGACCATGTACCTGAGCCACTGTTGTTAACAGTAACATCGACAAAATAAGAACAGAGAGTGGATTCACCCACCTTCGTTTTTTCGTTTGATCTTCTTGGCAGCCCATGGTGATTGTTGATTATTATACCTCGACCAAGGTAGTCTACATCAGCTTCAGAATATCTCAAGCTATATTACGTTAGGAAAATCTAAATCCAAAACGTAAAATTTCTGTTGAACTTAACTGGTAATAAAATTCCGCAACAACTTTACTTCGCCATAACCATTGCCAAGCCTTGAGTTCACGCTTTGTCGCGGACGCTCAACGTTGATACAGTGAATACTCAGCCGCAACGTCATGGTAGCTACTAATATCAAATAGGGGTGTAACAAATTTCGCACCAAATCAAAAATACATTAATCCCCATTGAAAGCCCTTTTACATCTTAAAACAAACTTAGTATACATAAATTTTTTTCTATAATAACTATTCCTTTATTTTATGAATTATTTTACTTATGCAGGTGTATTAATTATAAAATTGTATTATAAACTATTGCAAATCCTAATTGTAAATGGACCAATCAGCAATGCGGTAACTATCACGTGAGATGATTAAGAACAGACTAAACGCTGCACATCAGCATAGACGAATTTAAGACGTGTGGAATATTTGTAGCACAACATTTTAGCGGCAATCTTATTAAAATATTATGCAATACCATCCTTTTTTATTTTATTTCTACATAATAGAATGTATTATTATAAAGCAGACTTCAACATTTGAAGTTTTATTGATAATAGGAATAGGATAAATGAACTTTGAAAACGATAAAAAGTTTGTCCTGTATGAAGTTGACTGTAAAATTTAAAAATAAAAGAGAAAACACAAACATTCATGATTCCTAATTTTATTTTCTTATTTCATAAGTATAACACACAAGTACAATTTGACACGCCTATGACCATTTAGAATTATATTTCTTAATTCTTTACGTTTTTATGTAAAATGTCATGTTATTGTTCTTCGTCTCAGGACCCCTTCGGAAACAAACAGGAATGCTTAAACGGTTATCCTGAAATTCTCTATTACGTTATTTCTACACACTGTATCTGGTTTTGTACTTGCTTTTATTATTTTATTATAAGAATTTCGAAATAAACCCAATCCAATACAGCTCAAACGATTAAATCAAATTACGTACAAAAACCTTAAAATTAAACCCAATAAATATTAAACTACTTTATAGATGTCATTGTATACTTACTTAATTACTATGTTTGAAGCTGAAACTCGGTAAAACCATAGATTAAACGTATTGCTTATTTGACAACAAAATGAGAAAATCATTTTGATATACATTTATCAATATTAGGATAAACAATAAAGTCAAATTCACTTATGTATAATTTGTAAATTTACATGTGATACATGATTAACTAATAAATTATTTTACAACCACAGTACATATTAAACAAAATTATATTACCATTTACTTATTTATTTAATAAAAAATAAGAGCCTTTATGAATATCATAATTAGAGGGCGCTATTACACTTTATAAAACAATCTGAAGGCGCAACAAGACTATTATAGTGCTCATAATTGAATGTCACTACAAAAATTTACAAGGCCATTTTATTCATTATTATTTTCGAATAAAATGACCTTGTCAATTTTTGGAGTGGCATTCATATCATTTATACTCAAACTCAGTGCACATCCTAATGGGAAAATTCACAACTAACACCGGTAGTGAAATCAGTATATTTATTTTATCCTTTCGACAAGGAAAATATTGAGCATCTAACAGGTTATTCAAATATCCTATATAAGTACCGTACTGTATATGAATTTTGAATGATATAAGCTTTAGCCTTGTTTTTTAACCTATTTTTGTACATATCGTTTAAGTGTTTTCAAGTTCTACTAATTTGTTGGAATATGGACACTGTCTATCAAATTGTCCATTGTTCAATCCGCTGACAAATTTAACGCATTACGATAACAATTAAAATACTGTACAATTATCGACACAAGAGGTACGGTACACGTCAGACAGAAACAAACAGTATTTCCATAAGCGCACACTGAAGATAATTTTGCATAGAGTTGAAGCGAAATAATTCTATTCAAAAGGTCCGCAAACCAGAACTTAATTGCGCGAATTGCAACAGTCTCCACAAACCCTGGATTGTATACAGTCAACAGACTAGAAAGGTATTACAAGTACCATGATAATGCGGTTCTTTTGAAACATTTGCGGCATTCATTTGATGTGTTCTTTAAAAACGCATTCTTTATTTATTCACTTGACATGTTATAGGCCTACCTAGGCCTAACCTAACTTTTTTAATGTATCATGTTTCGGCACAAGGCTAGGCCTATCATTAAGTTACAGAAAAAATAGATTGTAATATAAACACTGTAGAATGCAATGGTGTATGCAGAGAGGAGTGAGGCTGCGGAATATATATGGACCTAAAATTAATAAATGTCATTCCACTTTTATTCTATAATGTTTATAATTTATGGTGGCAACTCATAAGAACATAAAATTATGCCTCGTAAAAAATAAACAGGCTTAGGTGTAAAACGTGAATAAATTTAACCGTTTGTGTTGTTGTTTTGAGCTGAGGTACCGTATTGTTTTGAACTTTTCCTTTTCCGTGATAATCACGATTAATAGATCATAATCTAAATACGATTAACATGCTATCAATGTTGCACCTTCTTGTCTCGTCTCGATATTATTCTTTGGTTTTGTCAAAGAAAAGTAGACTCTGTTTTTGAGAATTTTGTCTCCAAGTGTTACACCGTCGATAAGAACGCGACAAATTGTATAGCCTAAATGGGGCCGAAAACAAACACAAATCTAACAAACTACCGCATGAATTATAGACCTATAATATTATTTCATTGTTTTTGTTTCATCATTATTTACGCTCCAAGCAGCACTTGTTAATTTGAGTTTATTTTCAGCTCGTTAGCTAGATGGAATCGTGCTTAGTTCTCGTGGAGTCAAGCTTAATGCCGCAATTGAAGAAGTGAACAGTCCATTTTCTGCGGATTTAGTCTTCAACGAGCTTTCTGTGGTCTTAATTCACGAAACGCGCAACAAACATATTGAAAACTGTTGTTGCTAAATCACCAGTAATCTAGTCGCCCCCCCCCCACATATTGATAAAATTGAATTTAAATTACGTGTGAAGCTCGTTATGCACTCTCTGCGAAAGAAACATGGGAGTGTTTTTTATTTGTAGGGCGCCCTCAATATAAAGTAGCATTGTGTGTGTCATGGTGTTATTCGATCTCTTTCCATTCTATATTATGAAAGTCAACAATCATTGTCCCATGGTTGTTCTACAATTTAGGCATAATTTAATTAATAATAATAATAATATTATTATTATTATTATTATTATTATTATTATTATTATTATTATTATTATTATTATTATTATTATTATTATTATTATTATTGTTATTATTATTATTTATATTGACAAAATTCTTTATACAAAATCAATATTATTATTATTATTATTATTATTATTATTGTTATTATTATTATTTATATTGACAAAATTCTTTATACAAAATCAAAACTGCATACAGAGTAGGCCTATATACTGTTTATTTGTAAACCATTGTTAAACATCACAAAGTAATCGTAATATCAATATAATAAATTTATTTATTTATGGAGCAAACAAAATAAGTTTGTTACTATTGTAATTGGCGCAAAGGATGGTAAGATGCGTATTATTTTGTAAATTCGCAACCGTGGTGCAATCCGCTACCATAGCCTATTGACTGGTGCAGTCTGGACACACTTTGGACTGATTGATATCAGTGGGTACCAACATATTGTGGCCTATCATTTACAAGTGCAATAATTACCAAGCTCACAAACGGGCTGTAAACTCGCAACGTGCTGTATTGAGAAATAAGCCTCAATAGCCAGTTCATTTAACCGTCATTTTAAAGTAAATGATATGTTCTATGCCATTATAACAAAAACTCATTTTGGCCTGAGGACGAGTTTACCCTTGCCCTTTTGTGAGCTTGGGTCACATATAGGCAGGACTAGTCTAGAGCGAAATTTACATACTTATATTCTATTGATTTAAATGTATAGGCCTAATGGGCTTTTGATCATTGTATTGATTTATTGTAAGGCCGTTTCCTCTGTTTTCGTCGCAAGTAGATTTTTTTGTATTTTTGATATGAGTTTGACAATAAAGAATGTATATTTTATTACTACAAAATTCAATATGAATGTTTGAGATTTCAATAAGTGAATATTTTCATTCGTTTGAACAATGGATTGTTCCCTTAAACGAGACAGGGCAGAGATGAATGTCCATCTTTCAACGGTCTTTCGACCACTTATAATACACTTAAGAATAGATTCTTGTCAATAAATTTTATAAGTTAAGCGTACTTTTCCTAATGAAACACTCTATTTTTCAACCAACGAAAACATCGTAGCATTAGAATAACTAGGCCTACTGTATATCGAGGCGTGCAACAGGAAAAATGAATGGAACAAATGTATATGGAAGTGAAACTATACCGTAGGCTATGCTATTCCCCACAATGAATGACATATCAAAAATCATTTTACCATTAAATGGTTTAAATACCACATGATATTAAATCTACTAATGACAAGAAACTTAGGTGTTTTATAATATTGAGTGTATGTGTAAGCCTAGATATTAATTGAATAGAATGCACACCTTTGTGCGCTAGAAACTAACATTCGAAACTCTCGAATTTGTTGGCCACACGTCTGACCTCTTTTGACCATGCATGGACAGTACTAATAAAAAGCTTCTCCATATTCTTATATCCCATAATCAGATAATGTTCGCCAGGTTTCATAATGTTGCAACATTCAGGAGCTACCATCTCCCGTGCATTAAATATACCCGTCTTCAAATCGCGTTTCCTTAGACCATTAAATCCGTAGAGTATCCGATTTCTTTCACTGAATATGTATGTAGTCTCTTTTACTGTACTAGTTATCTTCACCAATTTTACCTTCATAACTGAAATTAAACATGAGAGAGAATAGAGTTATGAAGACACTAACGAATAAACATATAAAATATTTTAAAAATACACTAGACAACCATCAGCAAGAATTTAAGTTAATCAGATGTAATCAATCGGAATAGTGAAATACAGTGGAGCGTAACAAAGTAATCAACACATTGCTGTAGGCTTACTGCTGGTCTACTATGACCCTCTCCATATGTAGTCGGACGGCAGGGACTAACTACCAATGTGCAAACTTGCAATAGTGGATTTTATCACAATGATAATGCCACTTAGGCCTATTGGACTAGTGTGTTGAATACAGTAAACCAACAACGCATATGCCTATCCAGTTTTAATACGACCGTGTAGTACTATAATTATTTATTTATTCTCTATAACGACCTTTTTAAACATACCAAAATCAGCTTTGCAGAATTCGGCCAGAATCTTATCTTGCCTACCAACGACAGACTTGTAGCAGAGGGTGCTGTTATTAAGGGGCACTGTAATAAAGAAAATTCAATTCACTTCATTTTATTGCTTCATAAGCCATCGAGGGCTACTATCCGCTTAAACCATGCTTAAACTATACATATATATGCCTACATATAGATACATTGAAAAGAAAAACATATAAAATAAAGCACATGCAACTACTTCATAGAAAGAGTCAGAAAAGCCTTAAACAATCTTTGGGGGCAGCGGTAAATTTGAACCCGTAAGGACCAGAGATGATATTGTAATTTAGATTTATATAGCGCTTTATACTAAAAAAAAAAAACAAGAACATCTAAAATTTAAACTAACTCAAAACAGCTTAAATTAATCCCTTCCTTCCTCCCTCCCCCTAATGTTTTCAGAAACAATATTCAAGTACTCTTTATCCCTCCCCCAAACAATGCATCTACCACTTCTTAAAAGTTAAACATCAAAAATAACATCAAAAGAATAATACAGGAACGATAACAACAAAAATGAAATTGAAAAACAGAGATGAACTGTTCAAAATCTCACTGCGGAATTTCCATGCTCTTTTGGTATACCTTTTACAACACCTGTACAATATAGTAGCCTATATTGTCGTCATAAATGATTCACACAGATTACCCGACAAGATACGTTACAGATTCTGAGCAGTGTAATTCAATGCCATTAAAATAGTAATTGTGATGCCATTAATTTTCAGCGCTCTTGTGCAAAAATAACTTCACGTTTATTTTTAGTACAGTAATATACGCTATACCGTTATCGATTTCATGTGTATTATTTATACCGGTAGTTGGCATACATTATATCAACGAGTGATTGGAACTCCGAGACCATGGGCGCTAATATAACCAAAGAGTATAAAACTGCGAGCCTGATTTTGTATGCAGCAATGTGTGCAGGCAATGGAACGCTAAAAGTGTGCCACGAAATAGGGGGCGCCCTTCAGAAATTTAGAAACTCGTACGCGTTGCTCAAATCTTTTAAGGCCACGCCCCTTCGTGGAAGTACTTTTTGCGATCCAACGAATCCCTGGCAGTCGGACCTCTTGCAGTTTTATACTCTTTGATATAACCATCACCATAGCGTATACTCATGGACTTATATAATCATGGAAAACTATATTTAAATAGGCCTAGATTAACCTCATCCTTGTCTTTGAAATATATAATCAGTAAAGTTGAACCCCTACAAGTAAGAATCTTCTACTGGATGTGATGCAGATACGGTTTCAAGCCCTGTCCTGTTTTACAGTGCCTAAATATTGTCATGATGACATCACCTCATGACCATGTAGGCCTATAGGAGTGGGCCTATATGTGCATAAACCATTTTTTGTCAAATAGAATTTGATAGTCTAGAGTAAAGAATGTGAAAAGGGTCACATGCATGTGTTTCCGATGGAGAGGGGAATATAGGCCTTCTGAAATAAAATACCGGTATATAGGCACATCTACTATTAACCAATATTTCTTTTTTTTTTTATCTGTATTGAAATGTATCTTCTATGATTGTGTTCCAACTTCAGGGCTAAAATAAAAGTTACGATATCGCGATGATGCTTTTACGCCACCTGTGGTTACGTACGTGTCCATGTGTACCAGCGTGACCGCTGCTTGAGTTACCCAAGATCTTGGGTATTTTGACTTGGTCTTGGGTTCTTGGGTATTCCTTTCAAATCCTTGGTTATTTTTTTTTACTAAGAAAATTAAATATTTTTGTCATAGAGGAAAAATTAAGAAGTAACAAAGTATATTTCAGTCCATTCAAGCATGGAGGAAATATATATTTTATTATCTTAATATATTTCCTCCATGATTCAAGTAAGCAAAACTCAACGAAGTGCACATAACATTATTAATTGACTGTTAATTGCTATAAACATGGGTTCAGAATTGTTTATTTGTGA